AAAAAGAAAGCCCAGGAAAGGATTCCAACGCTGACACCCACTTCTAGGTCTGCCACGTGCTTCCGGGAGAGTGACAGCTCCTGCTGCCCTCCCTCCGCTCCGGAAGCCTGGGGTAATGTCAGCCCCCCTTTTCCCCCTCTTCATCTCAGCTGTATCAGATACATTGAGGAGACAGTCACAGTGCAAAGGGTTCTATCAGCCTGAGGGTAAAATTTAATGATGACCAAACAAGACATACATTAATAATTGATATATATCTTTTTATTATGCACAAATAAAGTACTTAAAACGGTGGTTATCAAAACTATACATCTAAGCATGTTCACAAAATTGCCGACACATTGAACAGAGGAAAGACTACATATAACAGGGGTGTTCAAACTGGCCACAGGGATTTGAAGGGTACTCTTTTTACCCTCATAGATGATGAAAAACAGCAACAAAATCAGGCTCATTCAGGAAAAACCAGAAGAGAGAAGCATTGTACTTGGAAACTGATAATAGTCCTTTTCAGAAAAACGTCTGTCAGTTTCATGAACAATCCCCAGCTAAAACAAACAGAAAAAAAATCACACACACAATTCACCCAACAAAATGTGCTCTGTTAACACAACCAGCAGTACAACCATCACTCAAACCATGAGGTAGTTACAGTACAAAAAAGACTGGCATGCGAGTGCGCGCCCCCCACAGGCCCACAATCATGCCCACCACAGAACACACGCAGGGAACGGGTTTACAATCTCATTACAGACAAGGAAAAGAACATTTCTGTTGTGGTGGTTTGGAAAATGCTACGGAAACAGCTTAGGCAGAAGGCATTTCTGACTTTTAAAATACAGAGCAACAGCTGGTAAACCCCACATGGGGAAAAGCTATAGGGTGTTTCACGATGATAATCTGCCTTGGAGTTTAGAGCATTTTAACAACAGCCTGAGCATCCAACAAAACAAAACAAACAAAATGGCTTCTGCGCACTCAGGGTGTAGCCTGCAGAAGTAACAAGGGGCAGCAGATAGGAGAGTTTAACTGGAATATAACAACAGTTTTATAGAAACTTGCAAAATGTGTTATAAAGTTGAGCTAGTATTTTGTATTAAAACTGTGAAGTCTGAAGCAACTGGAAATGCTGTAACAAGAGGCTAGGGAGAAAACACTATTTTTTTTAAATGCTCATTTGTAAAGGGACATTTCAGAACTACTTAATGACATTCACTCTCCAATTAACATGGGATCAAGTTTTATCAACACAGATTTCTTGATCTGAATAATACTTCTGACAATCAGACCCAAACAAGCAAAAGTTGACTCTTTTCTTCTCTTTTAAAATCTTTTGGTTTGCATCTATAAATTTGTAAATTAATTTTAAATTACTTATAAAATCATTGGCAACGTAGCATCTCTCTCAAAAATATACATTTAAATATATTACAAAAAGTTTTAACCCGGTCCATCTAAAAACTGGATCTTTTAATACTTCTTTAATAACTAATTTTCTTTTTTAACAGAATGGAAAGGGTTTTTTTTAAAAAGCAAAGAACTGATCAGAAGAATTCACAGTAACTGAAGTTAAACATTTCATATGGAGTAACTTTTTTAAAAATCTAAAACACTTAAATATATCTTTATACACAATTTTTTGTAGTAAAATATAGCTATAAGTGACTTAAAGACTCTAGTCTTCTTTGAAGACATCTTTAAACCTTTTTATACATAGAATATGCTAAAACAATACATTCTGCTGAAGGTTAGGCAAAGCGCATTATTTTCAAACACAGGTAGCATAATCTAGTCCTGCACTCTGATACCCTTATGTTAAGAAATGTTAACTAGAGGGGAAAAATTATCTGATCTCATATCTTCATTTGTATGTGGAAATATGCAAAATTATAGACAACCCAGAAATCTTGGCCTTCAAGTCATCCTTTTTGGTTAAAATTATCCTGATTGAATGTCTATGCCTCTTAAATAAGTCAGAACATTACTCTAGAATTGAGTAACCTTGTTTGCCTTGCAGACATTGCCCTTAGGTCTTGGGTATCATCAACATTTCCTACTGAATGTTTCATTCACGGAGAACCAAGCACAACTTCCTTACTTAAGGGCATTAAGATTTGCTTATGAATATTTTGGGGTAGAATCTAGCCTGTTCTATTTGTAGAATGTTGAGTTGTTTGGGGAGGGGAGAGGCAATCTGGAAAAAGAATAATATTTATTTGTAATGAAACTATCCTCAGTAGTAAATGATTTGGCATGGAAATTTTTCCTCTGGCTTCTTTTTTAACATAGAGGTATCAGTTGAGCTTACTTTAATTGCAAAGTGGCATGATATTATTCCATTTTCTTCCATTATTCCATCTTAAATTCTTTTCGAGTTTGGGATATATTTAAGGCAAGAGAACTACAGCAACCCAAAGGAGTGTGCCCATCCCCTATCCCAGCACTTTCTTGGCAGAACTGGTGACACTGTTCACATAGCAGGCTCTGCCCTGCTTTTGCATCTTACAAGAGCCTGGTTTTTACCAAAGGGTCTATTCAAAAGGTTGACACGTGTTGAGTGGAAACACTAATTCTCCCAAAGATATTTAAGAATACATTGAACTCTAAAGGTATAGGAATTCTTAAAAGGGGAATTTTTTCTTCTTCACAACTACAAAACGAATGTGCCAGATGACATATGCTTTTACTGGCATAAATATGACCAAGCAAATTCCTCCTTAATTTTATAACTAAATTTTGCCCTGATTGATAATTAATTTCTCAGAACACGGTGTCATAAAGCAGAACACATCTGCAGTCCCAGATTTTGGCCATTTTCAATTTCTCTAGGCCTATAAAGAAATAGGAAATCTGCATTAAGACGCTTGCAGTGGGTGTGCTGGTGCGGGAAGAGGGAGGAAACTGAGAAGGTGCTCAGAGTTGGTTTGGGCCCAGGGCACAAGGAAGGAATGTTGCCTTGCTGTGTGTCAGGATGCGGCCCGGAGGGCAGCGTCTATTAAGCAAGACAGGGCCTCCCCGGGCTGGCAGCAAGGTGAGAAGTGTGCACCCAGAAGGCACGAACTGCGGGTGGAGGAATAGAAAGTCTTGAAGCATCTCGTTTGTGTTACATCTTGGTTCAGCTATAAAGGAATCTTTGGCCACATCTCCCTGGTTCTGTCTGGCTGTCATCCTTTTACCAGCTCCTTGAGTCCTGGGTAGAGCTCAGGGTCCAAATGATAGATGTTCTTACCCGGACAAAGCAGCATTTTACAAACTGGCATGTGTTTCACATTGTTAGCCCCCTAACCTGTGAGGCGCTGGTGGGCAAGGCCGCCACCTCAGCTTTCTCACACGGAAGTCCCGGGGCACATGGAGAGTCGCCCTGGGTTGGGGGGTGAATACAACAGGTGATGTTTGTATCGAAATGCACTCTCTTTACAAAGGAACCACGATCAAGCCTTTCTGGAGCTTGGCCACCCGTGCTGTCCGGCCGAGCCCGTGGCAGGGGCGGCGGGGCTAGGCCGTGCTGCTGCTGGAGCAGGGCGTGCTCTGCGTGCTGCCGATGCTGTGGGCCGCGCTGCTGTTCTCCGAGGCCGGCGGGGAGGTGGGCACCTGCTGCCTTCCCGCAGTCTCCCCTGTAGTCGGTAAAGAAAAGGGGCGAAGAAAGACACATGTTACGGGCGTTCATTCCCCCAAAGACCATTTCTCTTTTTGCCATTTTATCTGGTGTTCATCTCCATCATGGGCAGAAGCAACTAGACCAGAAGGCCTTCCACCATAAGGTTGTCCTGTTTGCTGATCTTTTGTTGTTTTTATTTTTTAAAATATGTTTTTATTGATTTTTAGAGAGAGAGGAAGGGAGAGGGATAGAGAGAAACATTAATGAGAGAGAAACATCATCGACTGGCTGCCTCCTGCACGTACTCCCACTGGGGATCGAGCCCGCAGCCCGGGCATGTGCCCTGACTGGGAACTGAACCGGCGACCTCCTGGTTCCTGGGTCAACACTCAACCACGGAGCAACACCGGCCGGGCAGTGTTCTGTCGTTTTTAAAGTCTCCTTCGTGGGAAAGCTAGAACTGTTTCCTGGGTGACTGACAGGCAGTTACAGTGGTTAACACCCCTGATAGTTGAGGACGAGTCCCCAGGATTCCAGTGCCTACAACTTTGGAAGAAACCACCACCACCTGTAGCACGTGACCCAACTGACCAGCGCTTGCATTCAAGAAACACTGTCCGTCTCCTCTCATTGTAGGGCTCGGGAGGGGGGACCTTTAAACTGTAATACGAGACCACTGGCAGTTTGGAGACCTTTTTGTCGATGCGATCAGAACGTGGGTGGGTGAAGCCTCGCTTTCGCCCTCGTCACAGCAGAGAGAGCCATGCGCCCCAAGCACACACCCTAAAATCGGAGGAGGCGGCGCCTGCTCTCAGAAAAACCTTTGGGGGAAGGGGTTCTGCTGTCCACACATGGGGACTGTGGTTGCCAGGGAACACCCCCTCCCTCCTAGGCTCATGTGGGGCGCAGGGCGAGTATCTCCTAACACAGTAAACATCCCACTTTTCCTTACGTACCCACTGCGTTTGCGCTAAGCCCGTCCCCGTGCCAAGTGTGCAGCGCTCTGGAGCGGGAGGAAGCCCGGGTCACACACATGGTTTGCATTTAGCGCCGCAGAAGCCTGAGAATTAAGTGTTTCCCTCCTTGCAACGGGCCTCGGGCAGCCCTCAGAAATGGCTCGAGGTAGGGAAAAGTGATCAAGGCTCTCCGATGACAAACACTGCCTTTTCTTGGAAACGTCAGAGCGCACGCTTCACGAAGGAGTGGTCGGCAGTCTCCCCCGACCCCCCTCCAATGTCTGTTTATGAACGAGCCTCCTCTTTCCTGTCCTCCTTCCTGTCCCGCTGAAAACACACAGCTATCAGCTGAAAACACACGCGCAAAGGCTCTGCCCTCCCGGCTCAGGAGCTGAGTCGGTTCCCTTCCAGGGGCCCCTTCAAAGCCTCTGCCAAAAACACACACACAAAAAACAGTTTTGCAAAAGATAGACCTGGCTCATGCCCCTGGGTCTGGTTACAGCTTCCCCACCCCCACCCCCATTTTAGGAACCGCAGCGACAACACACATTTTCGCATCAACCTCAGGGCACTTACTTGGCCCTTGCTATGTTTCCTCTGATTATCTTTTCTTCTGGGATTGGCGGGATGGAGAGGAACTAGGAGGTCAATATTCTGCAGAAGCGGAGAAACACTATTTTTCCTCTTCTTTTTTTTTGGCAATGTGTATTTCGGACCCTCCCCAGCACTGCCCTCTACCCGTCCTGTGTGTATGTGCTTAAAGGCAGGGAAGTCTGCTTCCATGACAGTGACTTTCTGCCCCAAACTGCCTTTCCCCACAGTGGGAGCTTTATTTCTAAAAAGAAATCAGATCTCTTTAGTTATTCTGATGTCCACCGCCCCCCCACAAACCCAAAATAACAAAAACCTCCAGAGACCCAAACAACTCGAGATATACTTTAAAAATTCAGCCCCTCACAATCCACATGTGCATCCACACCCAGCTGCCTCCTCGTGTTATTAATGAGAAGGGCCGATGTGGCTGTGTGTGCAGCGCATTGCAAGTGTGTATTTTCCCTTTAAACAAAGGCTGTGTCAGGAAAGCAGGAGGTGAGCTAACGCGCCAGCCGCTCTTTACGGCTCACCTGGGCTTCATCGGTGCAGCCTGAGAGCAGCGCAAGCAAGGAGGCCCGGCTCCTCCATGGACAACCGGCAAGCCTGCCCCATCCTGACTTTGACATGTGCCTGATTATTCACCCTCAGGAAAAGTGCCAGCACTGCTCCCTGCCCAGGAAGTCTGAATATTTGCTTTCTGATGTCTATTTGCCAAATATAATTTGTTGCCATGTCAGTTTATTTTAATCAGGGGCCCATTACAAAGGTCTTTCAACTCCCCGAGTTTTGGACACTCGAGTGCTGTTCATGCAAAATACTGTCCCAAATGAAACCCACGCAACACAAAACAAAGAAACCCCTTTTGCTCAAGATGGCAGGACACCTTGTATTAAGGTGGCTACGTCAACTTCACCTAGCAATCCATGGACTTGAGCCAACAACGTGCCAAGGAGAGTCTGCGAATCTGCTTGGAAACGTTGAAAGTACCATCTTTAGACTCTCCCTCCTAACTCTGCGGCTATTTTTACATGTAAGACATGGCATTTCTCAATATAACCAAGTTGCCAAAAACTTGTACGTTTTGAGCAATTATGAAAAAGTTTTTTCACTGTCAGATGGTAGTGGTACTACAGAAAAAGTCACCATGAGAAGAGGGGGTTAATGTGCAGATGTTTCTGCTTAACAAATGAAAAAAAACCCCTGGGTTTTCTGAGATGGATTCTCTGCTCTCTATCACAGTGACCTCTGACTGCTTGGAGCACTGACTTTCTCTGAAATATCCCTTGCGTGACAAATACAATCAGCCTAGTTCTGGAGAAGATGGGCAGGGAGGGCCCTGGGGGGTAAGCCGGAGGCCAACTGAATCAATGGAAGGAGTTTAAGGAAAGCTTCTTGCTCATAAATACCAAACTGGGCCATCAGGAATGTCTTCGGTCTTCATGTTTTGATCCTAAAATCTCAAACCACATCGAGGAAGAGAGACTTGGGGAAGAGGGAGAGTGAGTAGAGGGAAGAGGCATTTGGTGCACGGGGTTCCCAGGAGGGTGTGTTAGGACAGAGTTTAATTACACCCAGCTCCGTGGCTGAGCCTACATATTGCCAGAGAAGCTTTCATAATATATATATTTTAAGGGATAATCTGTTTTACTTCTTTAGCTTGGCACGGAATTGTCCGGATCTGATTTCCTGCCACCTCTTTTTGGCGGTCTAACTTTACAACGGGGTCCTTATCTCTAAGTCTTTCAGCATGGTGGGTCCTGGGGGAGGAAACCCGATTTAAGAAAGATCTGAATGACATGGAGAGGCGCTATGGGGACACCACAGATGGAAGAATTTTAGAGTAAGGTGAGGGGAATCTCGATTATTTAGCCCGAAGGAGACTGTTTGCAAATATTGTCCATAGAGGATAATTACAAAGAGGAACAGACAGCTGTTCCTTATCTCCCTGAGGGCAGAACACAAGGAAATGAGTTTAAAAGTCAGGGATAGGGATTTAGGTCACAGAGTAAAGAACTTGCTGATTATGAGGATCGGTGAGTTCTAGGGGGAATGTATAGAATTTCTTCCTTGGGAGATCTGTAAGCATTGGATTGAAAACCGTGTGCCTGGGGGCCATTTAGATTTAATATTGCTTGATGCTGGGAAAGAAGACAGATATTTTCCTCAAGGTCTTTGTGTTGGTTGCAATTTTGTGCCAAGTAATATCTTAATCTCTTGATATCTTAACTGTAATTTTTTTCACAAACTCACTCCTGTAAGAAGAGCGAACCAGACTGCCTTTGGGTTGGAGAAGTGGGTCACTTTCACACACTGACTCACCTCACTCTCCAAGCTCTAAGACCGTATTTTTGCAGCAAAGACTGCTGGGGGTGGGGGGGTGGGGGGTGGATTCGATGTTGCTGTAAGTTGTGGGGAAGGGAGAATTGTTCCAAGGCAGGAATTAAAATTTCCCCACATGCCCTGCCTTCCACTTTCTGTCTGTATTCCTGCAGGACGGCCCACCTGTCTGCACCTGCACCTGGGTTTTGGGTGGGTGTCTCCCTTTAACTTACCCGAGCACTTGGGTGAAGAGCACATCCTGCCTTCTTTGCAGTCACACAAGGGTCTTCCCTTCTGTCCCAGCTGCATTTTTCTGATCCCTGGACTTAGTCTCTTGCCTCTTACTTAGTCGCATGGTAGCCTAACTCTGGCTGTTTCTCCCTTCACCTGGACCAGAGGGGGGAGCTGGGAGAAACTTCAGCCCTCTAAGAACATTCAAAGCCTCCAGAGCTGTTCCTAATGAAAAGCCGTTAACCTGACTCAGGCAGAGCTGGGCATGTGCTTTAAGAGCGCACACTCTGTTCCTCCGAGGACTGCTGGATAGAAGGCCCTGGGGATGGAACAGGCACACCTAATTCAAGACCCCGGCATTTTATTATGCTCTGTGAAGCATGGAGTTCCTCCCACCCTTACATTTTTTTCCTGCCCGCACATACAAGCAACCTTAGATAGCTTATATTTTTTGTAGGACTTTGGGTTTCAGAAAGCTTTTCACATGCGTTTCTTTTTGAAGCACTCTCACCTCCACTAACCCTGTGGAGTAGGGCTCGCCTCCATGTTTACTGAAGGGAAATATAATCACTGCACCTGAGTCAGGGATAAGCCCAGCAGTTGAACAAAGTAGAGCTTCAAGTCCAATTTCTGATGACAGCCCACACCTACAGGTTGTACAGACACACATGGAGGGCAGCCTTCCTCATTCTCCAGCCCGCCCCCACCTTTTCCTTCTCTTTCTCCTCTTATTCTCATCAAACTCTGAGTGCGCCCTGTTCAGGGGACATAAAGGCACGTTTAAAGTAAAGATAAATGATAACAGCTAACCTATCCCTCCTACAGAGTTTCCCCTGCAAAAGGGAGGTCTTTTAGCTGGGAAAATGGGGAGGAACCCTTTTGAAATCAATAACAAGTGACGGAAAACGTCTCTAAACTGAAGGAGTGAGCTCGTGAAACAATTACAATTAGGATATCAAAAGATCGAGACATTAATTGGTACAAAGTCGCAACCAACTCATAGGCCTGGGGGAAAATCTCACCAAAATGGCAATTTACAGATTTTTAATTTTACTAACGTATTTTTTGACCACTTAAACCATTTTTATGCATATAATTCAGTGACATTAACAACATTCCTAATGTTGAGCAACCATCACCATTATTTAACTATAGAACATTTTCATCATCTCAAACAGAAACTCTGTACCCTTTAAACAATACTCATCACCTTTCCCCTCCGCCCCTGGTAACCTCGATTCTATTTTCTGTCTTCACACATTTGACTACTCCAGGTATTTCATAAATAACATCATCCAATATCTGTCCTTTTGTGTCTGGTTTATTTCACTTAGTGTATGTTCTCAAAGTTATCTTTGCTATAGCATGTTTAGCATTTCATTCCTTTTAAAGGCTGAGTAATATTTTATTGCATGTATTTACTGCATTTTGTTGATACATTCACCTGCTGATGGACATTTGGGTTGGGCTATTTACATCTTGTGATTATTGTGAATGCTGCTGCTATGAACATGGGTGTGCAAGGCCCTGTTTGAGTCCCTGCTCTTAGTACTTTTGGGTATATACTTAGAAGTGGAATTGCTGGATCATATGGTAATACTACATTTAACTTTTGAGTAACTGTCAAACTGTTTTCTGTGGTGGCTGCACCATTCTACCTTCCCATCTGCCATGCACAAAGGGTTTCCATTTCTCCACATTCCTGTCAACATGCTATTTTCTGTTTCTTTTTTATAACAGCCATCTTAATGCATATGAAGTAGGTATCTCATGGTTTTGATTTGCATTTTCTTAATGATTAGTGATGCTGAACATCTTTTAATGTGCTTATTGGCCATTTATACATTTTCTTTGGAGAAATGTTTATTCAAGTCCTTTGTCCATTTTTTTAATTAGGTTGTTTATCTTCTTGTTGTTGAATTGTGGGAATTGCTTATATATTCTTGATATTAACCCTTTATCAGATATATGATTTGCAAATATTTCTCTCATTCTGTGGGTTGTCTTCTCATTGTTTTTTAAAATGTATTTATCTTTATTATTGAGGGTATTTCTCTCTCACATTGTTTCTCTCTCCCTCCCCCTTCCTTCTCTCTACAATCAATAAAAACATATTGAAGAAAAAGAATTTTGGGGGGTAGAGGAGCATAACTTGAAAACAAAGAGCTTTCTTTCACCATTTGTATTTGTTTACAATTCATGAATATATATTTTGAAAAATTAAATAACGTTTTAGAAAGAAATGAGAATTTTATGTTTATCAAAGAGGATAGGTCAAGAAATGTTGGTTTAAACCATTAATTAGGGACTCTGGTGGGCTCAGTACCTAGGCTGATGTGGTAATAAAATCCTGGCTTCCCTTTTCACTTCCTGCCCATTTATATTTCTATTCTGAAGTCTTTAGCATCGGGGGAATAGTTTATATTTCCAGTTTGTCTATATTTCCTTCCTTTAATTAAACACAAACCACAAAGTAGCTTTATTAGAAGCTAAACTTCACCAACATCTCAACTGCAATTAACATAAGCAGTTTAAACAACCCTTTTCCTAAAACTGTTTAAAGCAAATTATATTTTTGCAAAACCCAATTTATGCCAAATGTGTAAATGTGAGGCTAGGGGGAATGAACTTTCTCTCTCTTTCACTCATTATCTCATCCATCCATCCATGCAATGAAACACTGGGAGTCCGCTGTGTGGCAGGCACACGGGATGTGCACCAACTACTATTCAACAGTCACACTAACCTGTGTGGGAGTAGATGTACCACAGGGCCCCCGTTAGGAGTGCTCCAATCACAAATGCTGCAAACGCAATGCCCATCACGGTTATGGTGTCCAGACCATGGAAAATTGCTGAGGAAGAGAAATACTTTATGTTAATTTTATATTTGTTTTATATTTTATAAAACAATTTTATATTTGCAATTTTATATTTGTTTCACAAGCACCATCCGTAAGGCTAAGCCCCAACTAATGCAATCTGAGAGGATTCCAACAAAACATACTGTATTTATAACTTGCAATTTTTTTCTTTAAAGAAAAATTAAATTATCAGACTTCCAAGATTCCTCAGTTTGCAATTGTTTTGAGCAACAAACTTACTAAAAAGATCACATTTGTAAACTCTAAAAACTTAAGTCTCTGGTTCATAGCCTATTTGAATGGTAAAGAAGCTTGAAAATTCAGAGGTTAAGATGCTATGGAAAATAAGGTGAACTTCCACTATAAAAATCTGATTAACTGCTTTTTACTCACTGAACACTTCCAGCAATGAGACACTACACAGAAAACACACTTCAAATACTTTACAAACATATTTTATGCACATTTAAAAGTAGGAAAGATAACAGGAAGAAAGGAGTGAGAAGGAGAAAACAAAATGAGGATAAACTGTTCCTGTGGATTATAACATTTCACTGATATCCTCATATTAAATCCCCAACCTTAACAACTACACATGTGTCATTTAAAATAACCTACTTTTTAACACGTTTCCAACCGTGATCTTTCTATGAGGGGAACGGAAATACTTCTCAGTGGGGAATGATGTCAGTTTTATAGTCAGCAAAACATATAAATAGAACCAATTGTTTCTCTGTTTGGCAAAGATTTTTATATTTGAAATCAATTCCAGGCCACAGAAATAGAACATTTCCTTTAATTTAAGAGAACTACCTGGTTTGAATCACTTAAGAAAAGTTAAAATCAGTTTCCAAGGGAGGGGGGTTTTCGGCAGAATAAAGATTTCTAAGGTCTCTGTTTTTATAATATCAATTTAAGCGATAGGCTCTCCCCGTTAATTCAGTACTGTGTCTAGGTTCCTCTCCAGTCAGAAGTGACTCCAGGTGACCTCTATGTAAATTAAATCTCTTTGCCTTTCAACTCACTTTAGTGTAAAAGATCCAGTTATAGAAAAATGTGACCCTTGAGCAGGCCCAGAAAAGGTGCAGGAAAAATATGTCATGGTGGAGAAGATTCTGGAAGATCCAAACTCCCAAGTTCCAGTCCACAGTTGTCTAGCCAATACCCATTGATGTTCATTTAACTTTTGAGAAGTTGGGGCTAGCCCTCCTGCCTGCAGCAGGTGAACAAAAAGAGTTTGTGAAAGGGCTGGGGATCCCCTAAGGAGTAAGAAAAGGGCAGAACACTCAGGAGGTTAAGATGAACCTAGCCATCTGCCTCATTTAATTTCATCTAATTCACAGAACGGATGTTAAAAGATGACTTGCCTTTTTACGCCTACAGATCACAAAGTGGGGCAGGGTTAAAGTTTTCAGTGAAAACATTCTAAAATTCTAGAGATGGAGATGTCACTTATGAAAATCTGACCAGGTAAGTATGAGAGCATGTGTCCATGTGTGTCGCCTTCTGGGTCAATGGTACTGTTCCATGGTGGCATGAAGGTAACACAATCATTTAATAGAATGTTTGTAAAGTGCTTTGCATAAAGGGACTCTCCAGGCTGACTGTCACGTGTAGGCGAGGGAGTCGGCCACGGAGACTAACCCGGACAGCTTTAAGGAAGGAAGCACCATCATCTAGAAGAGCTCTGGGTGCACAGGCAGAAAGCCAGGTCCTAGTCCCCTGGGCTTTTCATTACAACCTCAATGTTAATTACAACCATGGGCAAGTTACTTCATTGTTTCTGGGTCAGAGTTTTCTTCCATATAAAGTGAAACTGGCCCATCGTTTTGTAGTAGTTTCTAAAATAGGATTGAATGTGTCCCGCACAGAGAGCTCAAATCCATAATCCTGCATTTGTGTGACTCGTGTCCTTACATTTTGTCTAGTATTATTGTTGACTACACTGTTGTCTCTGAGTCTTAATGCAATATCTGTTCCCCAGCCTTTTTCAGATAATTTCCAACACATCGTTTTGTAGTAGTTTCTCTCTCTCTCTCTCTCTCTCTCTCTCTCTCTCTCTCTCTCTCTCTCCCCCTCCCCTTATAAGCCATCTTCCCCCAAGGCCCTTTGGACTACAGATTGTCTTGAAGGTACAACTAGTTCCCTTAGCTTAACAAGTGAATGCTGTTGACAGTGGTAAACGGTAAAGCAAACCACTCCCATAGCTGTACACTAATGCTTTCAGTTCTCAACTGATGTAAGTATGTAGAAAGCAAACTTCTCTCTCTAAAGCTAAGAACGTTACTACCTTTCCATTAAGGTTATACACACCAATGGGTCAACAAGTTCACATTTAAAGGTGAAGGTACAGAGGGAAAAAGAAAGGAGAATGAAGTAAGAACAGAGGGAAGGGGAAAATAAGTATGAAGAAAAAAGAGGGGAGGGAAAGTAAGAGCAGAAGTCTCCTTATCAAAACTCAAAGTTTGGCATATGCTCCATAACCAACTCATTCTTATAAAAGCCCAGGAGACTTTATTTCGAAATAGTTGCATAAAGACTTACGTGGAGAAATTGGATTCGGTTCCTTAATGTTTGGACTTGTTCCTGAAACAAAAACAGAAATCACCCAGAGAAATCAAGTTTTAAGCAAAAGGTCATCAAAAACTCCACGGACTCTGACACTTTTCTATTTGTTAATACTTTGTGAAAGTTCTGTCAACTGTCCTCTTAGATACCAGAATTATAACATGAATTACTCAGAAATTTTAAGTGGTAAACTCTAACCATCAATGGTACAGGCTTTTTGGTTTGAAAAAAACTTGAAGGCAAATACCTAAATATAAGGAATTTGAGTCTGACAATTTGTGTGTGTGTACACCTTTATAGTTTTTTAGGAAAGACTCAATACCTTTAAATACCATATTTCTCCAGTGTATTATAATATTATTCCTAATTTAATGTACACAAATTCTAGAAAAGTATCTTTACTTTAAAGCTTAATGCTATTGTAGTTGAGGTCCTCTTCATCACACATTTGCACTATTTTTTAAAAATGTGTTCTTATTGATTTGTAGAGAGAAAAGAAGGGAGAGGGGGAGAATAGAAACATCAATGATGAGAAAGAACCATCAGTGGGCTGCCTCTGGCATGCCCATTACTGGGGATCGAGCCTGCAACCAGGCATGTGCCATGACCAGGAATCAAACCAGTGACCTCTTGGTTCCCAGGTCGATGCTCAACAACTGAGCCACACAGGCCGGGCTGCACTATTACTGAGCTTCCCTGACTGCTCTCCTTGTCTCCACCACTGCCCCACTCCTACTCCATATTTCCTACTCCACATTTGCCTCCCAGAATGAATTTTCCAGAGCCCAGAGGTGGTTATGCAATTGCCCTGATTAAATGGCTCAATGACTCCCCTTCATTTATAGAGAAAATATTCAAACTCTTAGCGCAGCACACAAAGTTCTGCCTCCCTCCTCTTCCCACCTCTCCCCAGCCTCCCTTCCTAATGGGGTCCTTCACCTACTAGTATGCTGGGCTCCTCATCTATCTATACTAGTAAAAGGGTAATATGCTAATTAGACCAGGAGACCAGCCAGGGAGGGCAGTTGGGGGCCATGAGGCTGTCAGGGGAGGGCCTAAACCAGCAGTCGGACACCCCCCGAGGGGTCCCAGATTGGAGAGGGTGCAGGCCAGGCTGAGGGACAAAAGAATAATATTTCATGACATGTAGAAATTATATAAAATGCAAATGTATTCCCTACATAAAGTTTTATTTGATCACAGCCATGCTCATTCATGTACATCTGGGCTGTGGCTGCTTTCATGAGGTAACAGCAGCTCTGAGTAGTTGAGGCAGGGACTGTATGAGCCACACACTGAAAAGACTCACTACCTGGTCCTTTATAGGAAAAGGGGACTGAGTCCTGGCACAGACACTGCCCCGTCTCTTTAGAATTTAAAAGTGGTAAGTGTTGAGTGCCTCTCTTTTCATCTCTATTTTCATTCGATGAAGAAGGAATACACACTGTGTTGGACTCCACGGTGAAGTGCAGAGAACTTATGAAAAACTGACCGAAAACAATCAACGTTTGAGCTGCTGTTTACAAAAATAAAGAAGCCAGACAGGATTGTAAAATCTCAGCAGTAGCAACCTCAGCTGGGCTGACCACATCCTCGCAGCACAGGGTCCAGCGGTCCAGCCGAGGGGGAGGGATGCTACCACTGAACGGTGCCTCCTGGAGCTGTTCAATATGGTGGCACTGAAAGGAGTGATACTTAAATAAAATTACTAAGAAAATTAAAATAATTGTGTGATTTTAAGAAAATCTAATTCAGTCTGCAGAACACCCACCACCACCAACATGCCCACAAGACACTCTTTCCTGGGAGTTTGGTTCTATCAGCCTCATTGGCAGCAATAAAATAATGACGATGACACTTTATATTTGTACATCTCTATAGTGTGTTACACTTGACAAAAAGCTTTTACTTATATTTTTTCATTCTAAACTCCCCAGAACCCTATGAAACAGGGGTAGTTAACCACAACATTCTCCAACTTTCAAGAAGTAGTGGTTTGATTTGCTGAACTAAGTCCAAAGGCATTTAAAGGTCTCCACAGTGTGCATCATGTGAGAAATATACACACTTCTGGGAACAGTTCCATCTAATTAACTATCCATGGCTCAATTTTGTCACTTAGAATCCCTAAGAGGTTTTAAATAATGATTCTCCCCCAAGGAGACCTCCCATGTAAGAATTTAGCAAGGCCTGTGTGATGGATGGCATTGTTTTAAATTTCTTAATGGACTTATGTTATGATCTAATTCTCTTCCCCCACCCCAAATGGGGGCCCTCTCACAGAGCTAAGCAGAAAAAGTTGTTGCTTATGTCCCGGGGGTAAAGCTCCTCCGTGATTCCTGTGCATAAACAATGACAAGCACAAGCTGCAGCACTGAAGTTGGAGGGTTTTTACCCTCTAACTTCTTTGTTCCAAAACCCCTAGTAAGTTCGGGGTAGAACTAAGAGAGTTTGGTCTCTAAGGAACCCTGCAATCGAGTTGGCACGCTGAAAGGAAAAGAGTGGCCATAACAATATTTACTTTGGGTTTAAGGGTCTGATTGTAAGAAAGGAATCCTAGCTATTACTGCAAAAAAGAACTTTAACAATACAGATTTCTTTACAGAAAGAACAAACTATAATCAACATTCTGAACTGAATCTTTTCGTATACTCTGAGCAAATTTTGGTCAACCTCTAGAACCAAAAGTTTCCTCCTTGGAGTGGCAGGCATGGTTTTCATAAACGGGACATTTCTGGGGTTATGCATGAGTAACTGGCCACAGCTTTTTGGCCTCCAACTTTCAACTCAGTTCTCCTCAACATGCTAGAACGAGCAGGCCCAAAGGAAAACAAGGTATCTAACTGGTACCTACATCTATTGGTATCTGGCAAAGAGGGAAGGATGGGAGATGAAGAAGCTGGAGACTCAGGAGGCCTTTATGAAGTCACATTCAAGATTCAGTTTTCACTAGTACTCACTTCACTTCACTGTAAATGAACCCCTTCTCTGGGTTGTTTCACTATTTATGGCATTTGCTGCAATTGCCCAGTCACTAATCTGTATCCTTCCGCCAGGATCAATACTGCTCACCTGAGCCTGATTTTTGTGTTCTGCCCTCCAGGGGGCATTTGATTAAGTCTGGAGACATCTTGGGTCGTCAGAGCTGATGGTGGAGGAGTGCGCTATGGGCAACTAGTGGGTAGAGGGATGCTGCTCAACACCCTCCAACACACAGGACAGCTCCCCAAACAAACGCCATTTGGACGTTATCCAACCGAAACACCAAGAGTGCTAAGGCTGTGCAACTGCACTACGCCCTGAAGGCCGTAAGGACAGGGTCATCTATTTACTATATGACAAGCATATAGTAGGTACCCAACGGACATTTGGGGGGTGGGGGTGGAGAATAAGTAACCATAAATATCATGCATACTTATTTTGATCTTAGCAGCTCTCTACTGGGATCTTTTGTTGGGTCTTAACTTTCAGAGGTGCACACCGGAATATTTATGGATGAAATGAAGTGTCTGGGTTTCCTTCAAAACAACCCAGGGACAGGAAGTGATAAAACAAGATTGGCCACGAATTGGTAATTGTTGAAACCAGATGGAGGAGGGTTCATGGGAGTTCATTCTATTTTTGTATATATTTGAAATTTTCCAGATTAAAAATTTTTTAAATGTGAAGCACATTGAATAAAAAAAAAAATGCCTAAGATACCTCTTCTCTCTTACAGGGTAGAAACTAAATGTCTTGGTGTGTCAATGAAGTATTTCTATATTTCCTTCTTCTCACCTTCCCCTCATTTCTACCTCAGGCTGAGGACAAAACCTGGCTGGTGCTTTAGAGTATTTTTGTTCTGGAAAAATCAAACGTGTTCCAAAAAGTAACGCCTCTCTTGGATTAACTTCCAACTGACGTTCACAACTTTCCCTTCCATCCCCTTCACCTCCCTCCAAAAACTCCGTTTGGCTGAGAGGTTATGGGGAAGGAAAGGAAATTAACATTTATTGAGTGCCCATGATATGCTGGGTGCTGTCGTGAGCACACTTTTATTGTCTAAAAGCTATGTGGTAGAAATATGGGAAAAATTCAGTATTTTCAACATTTAATTTGTTCATTTTAACTCTCTGAGAATTACATATTATATATAAATCATGGCAAATTGGGTATGACATTCATTATGGGATTTTTGGTGCCCATTTTTCCTGTGTATGTCCAAAATTTTAGAGCCCCAAATTTCAGAAAAATTACTCGTCCCTTTCACAGTTAAAAACAAAACAACACACATCACTGACGTGGTAAAACCAATTTTACTGTGGAAGGCTAAGTGTTCTCAAATGCTATAAAAAGTGGTCACAGCATCCAAAGCAAATAGCACGCACATGCCTATACTTCAAAATATGTCAGAAAATATGGCAGGATGGCATCACCTCAACTATTTTAATTGTTTTCCCATAAACCATAATATGCATACACTATTCATGTTTTCTGAGCGTTTTTGTGAGTTATAATTCAAAGTCACAGAATGTCTCCTAAACTTTAATACTCTTTTAAATAGTTTACATGTTTCCCAATATCTTAACCCTCTGGAGGAAGAGATTTTTTTCCTAAAAATCTTCATCTTCTTTTCAGTTCATAGAGTGTTAACTATTTACTTGTAGTTTTTATTAAAAATTGGAATCAACTTCCACCTAGATTAAGGCATAGGGTTTAAGAGCACAGGCTCTGGAATGGAAGTGCCTGGAGTCGAATCCCAGATCCACCATTTATATGTGGTGAGACCCTGGCCAAGTTACTGAGCCTCCCTCTATACCTGCCTCACAAAGGGGTTGAGAGGATTAACTATAACCCCTATGAAGCACAGAACCTTGTATGAAGTAAATGCTCACTACATGTTAGACAATCATTATCACCATCATCTATCGCTGAAAGTATCAACAGCAAAAGATGGCTCACCCAACACTGGCTCCCAAGCAACTGAGAAATAAAAACTGGCAAAGATGTGTTGCAGGAGCTCAGGAAGTTTCCACTAAAAACAGTGGCCCAGCGGAGGGACCCAGAATTATTTATTTAGTCTTGATGGCCTGTTCTCCCTGCCCACAGAAGGAAGAAACCTTGCTTGAAATGTGTCCATGCTATTGGCAGGAGCCCCTGAGAAGACCTCTGCCTGGCTGTGAAGTTGGCACTGAGAGCCTTTCTCAGCTGCCCCAGCAAACTCAAGAATTGAGAAATACGACAGACCCAATGGCCAGGAGGGCCAGGACTTGCGTGGCCTTGAGCGCCTGTGTCAGTAAAAGGACAGTAAAATGTCCCATTGGTTGGAAAATTTTTACCCCAAATGTCAATCCCAATAGGAGCCCTGCCCACTTCCAGAGGGAATATAGGATCTGTGTCTTACTATAGTAACATACAACGCTGTCTGGAAAGAAGAAGAAATTCATGATTCTATTATTCAAATAAACAAGTGCTATTAGGCAAATGTCACATTCCCTTTTCAACTGACCGTCCCAATGCACTGAGAGGCAGGGGAAAAGCACAGACTCAAAAGCCTGCATTGAGGAGAAATCATTTAGAGTCAAAGGAAAATAAACATTAAAGGTAAGAGGAGTCCCTCCTAGAGCTGAAAACCGTCAGAAAACCTACCCCATTCAGTGCAAAGTGAGAAAGCGTCTATGCACACAGCCCCTGGGAAGTGGCCTACAGTCCAACCTCCTCCATTTGTTTAACAGATCTAAGCAGTGAACTTTCGTCACTACACACTTCTCCACCAAAATCTAGTCTCAATTAGCAAATCTCCTGAAAGTGCTTTGATACTTGGTAAAACTTTCCCCTTTAACTTCATATAAAGAAAACACTGACCCTTCAGAATAATTACACGAAGTTTAAATAAAAGCAATTGCCTAATTTACAAGAGGAATTACTTAGAAAAATACTACCGGACTTAAAAGAAGAATGAATGAATTACTGGAAGTTATTTTGCTGCAATATTAATGCCTAATTATTGTCTGGCCTAGGAAAACGCAAGCTGCTGCCTTCAATTACCAGCAGAATTACTGCTCTCAAAGTAGGTAGGAGTAACAGAGGGAGTACGAAGTGGCTGCTGCTATTGTTAGACCACGTGCCCAGTGCAAAACAGAGCCAGCTGCTGCCCGATTGTGATACACTTTACAACACAATTAATTTCTTTTTCCCCGGACCCCATAAACAAGAAACTAACTGGGCAATCCATTTATTGAAAGACTATAGCTGGTCTAACTGTCTCAAATGGTTAAAAACCAACTAAAAGAAGAAGATAAAACAAACAATCTCTACAATGAAAACACTGCCGAGGAACCACTAAGCAGCTATATATTTCACACCAACTTTTGGATGGCCGGGAAATGAAGAGAAGATTAGTTTGCTTCTTCAAACAGCATAGCTGAGGGTTACAGCTCACACTCTGAAAGGCCTCTGGAAGTCATCTGGTCCAAACCCCTCCTTTTCCAGATAAAGAAAATGAAATCCGAGGCCATGCGGGGAGATCTCCTAAGTCCCACAGCCAGTTAGTTATCGGAGAAAGCTAAGAGCTACCCCCAAGCTCCTGGCTCTACACCAGTGCCCTCCCGCCACCCTCTCCTGCCTTTCTGAATGGAGCCTGTTCCTGGGAAGGGGGCAGATGTCGTCACCAGATATGACAGTAGGAATGGCACTGCTATTTTCAGAGGTCACTCCACTGGACGGCATCCACATGCCTCTGCTCTGTTCGGTCCTGTTTGCTCCAGGGCCGCCCCTGCTGCCTACTCTTGCCAAATCCAACAAAGCTCGGATCAGAAATGCCATCCCAGAGCTGCCCAAGCCCAGATCTGGTGTCAACACCATCCAGCAGGTCTCCCAGCTGATGCCCAGCAACTGCAGTCAGGCTGCTCACTGGCTTTTGTCAAGGCCCTGGGTGCCGGTGACAGGCTCCTCTCTGCCCCTCGGGTGGTAGAAGGTAGCCCGGGGCTCTAGCCCTGAGATATTTACCCCAGAGGCTTGAAATCCACTCTCACCCTCCCAGCCTTCTCTTAGTCTGGCACCTTTAGACAATGTTTCTTTGATAACTGTAACTGCCCAGATGACGTTTGGTCGTTGACAGCTGCCTGGTGTGTTCTCGCTTTTTCATGTCCTTGGCTGGAGCGATGCTGCTCTGTCAGGTCAGTCCATAGGGCCTTGCAGCCACCCCGAATAGCCCCTCAGAGCCCCACTCTGCCCCTCCACTGGTCCGGCTGGCCTGGCCTATGCAAGATCTGCTTTGCCCTGCCTTCCTCCCAGGTACTGGGACCCCCTCTTAAGAGTACATCCTTCCTTTTCTTTTAGAAGATGCATCAACTAAATTATAAAAACACATTTGAATACTAGTTCTCAACCTTCCTTCTGCTGTGACAGCTCAGATGGATGGTGCTCACATACATAACACCCTCCCCAAAGGCATTTGCGATCTTGACAAAACACCACAATAGCTTGTAGCCAGCACCACCATTCCTAGGAGATCATGGAAAGTCCATCTTTCCATGCCAGGAAGAACTCTAATCCCTTCTCACACAGTCAAGGAAGCATATTTAAATGCAAGAGAGAGAGTGACATTGTGACCGGGACAACCTTGACTCTGATCAAATAATAAAGAGGAAATCATTTGCAAATGTATCCCTGACCACTGAGCTACATGTCAGTAGGACAATGAACTGAATAAAAAACTCCTCAGGCAAAGAACCCTTTTCTAAAATTACTCATTGGCCATTAATGTATCTTTTGAATAAAACTGGACTTAGGGTATTGGAACCTCCCAATGAGCAGCCCCGAGGCCCCCATCCTCTGATTGAGCCTCCCAAAACACACCTTTAGATTCCACTTCCTGATGGATCACAGCGAGAGGCTTGGTGAACGTCTTCTTATTCTGCATCATGGCCCAGATCATTGAGGCGTCCAGTGAGGTGCAGGCTTCATCGGGAGGCACGCACTGCAGAGAGGCAGAGCCAAGAGAGTTGGGGGTCACTCTATAGGCTTCACCAGCTCAGCCGGCACAGCTGTCCTGTGCCCCTTCTCAGACAGCTAACAGCTGGTGGCCACAGAAAAACAAGAGATCTGGGTGTTTTCCAAAGAACTACAAATAATCTGGGAGATATAGTGGCAGGCCCCATGTATTCTCAGCTGCACTGAAAGATGCAAATATTACTGAACAGCTTATAAATATTGTCATCCCCCCCTCCCCCCCAATCTTCCCATGAAACAACTGGAGTTTTTAGCATTATTTAGTGTGAAAAATAAAGAAACTATCCAACAAATGTTGGCCCTAGACCAAGCCGGCTTCACATAAATGGTTCATGTTTACGATCTGTGATTGTGGGAAACTTCATGTATTGCATTATGAAGGTGACAGATTTTACATCTGTTGTCCAAAAAGATAATCATGTTGTCAAGTCTGTTTGATTTAAATCCTGGTAAAGGCTTGTGCAAAATAAAGCTTCCCAGTTATCTGTTTTTTCTTGTTCCCAGAGTTCAGGGGAGTTGTGCCCAGGTGTGGATGCCAGGAGATCAGCTGCTTCTAGCTATTTTAAGGCCCCAAACTTAGAACTAGTGTGCCCAAGCCCAGTGGACCTGTTTTTAAAGAGTATGATTACATTCCATTACTTTTTCTTTAAAATAACTTTGGTCCCTTGTCTATGTTCATGAATAAGTGAAACTCTAATCGACATCTATTTGCTTTTGCTGTAAGAAGAAATATATCAACCATTTAAAAAGTCTGTAGCAAGGCACCCCTGAAAGTGAATTAACCCCAAGCTCTTCCCATCACAAAAGAACAAAGACTTTTGGCTTTACCATCATTGCTGCTTCGAGAAACATGCAAGTCAAACCCATAGTATAAACAGACCTCCATCCCCAAATAGAGATAAGCCTTAACAATAGCCCTCTTGTCAAGAGAAACAGTGGATTGTCTGTGAAGGGGCATCACTGCTGAAAAGATTCGCATTTTAGGAAGAGCTTTCTGACTTCCCTACTGGTTCTTCAGTCACGTGAAGAGCCTAAGATTCTAGGACTAACTCACTGCGTGACTCTGGGCAAGACACTGTACTCTCTGGCCTCAGCAAAGGGCAGGGGTGGACTCAACAATCTTTGAGACTGCCTCCTGGAAGATTCTTTGGGTCTCTCTATCGTCACAGAAAACACTCAGCAGTCACTAGACATGTAGCATTAACTATAAGCAGTGAACAGGGAGACAGTGGTAACAGCCATCCTAAGCCACTGCACTATAAATGGGGAACTAGCTCACTTGCTCCTCTACCCGAGGGAAGCCAGGTACTATCGTTTCAATTTTATAGATGAGGAAAGGCTGGTTCTGAGAAGTCATGGGATTTGCTTAAAGTCCTTGTCAGTCCCCCTGCTCTTTCCACTGTATCTTACCTCAGGTATAAATAACGACTTTAGGTTTGGGTAATACCCCATGTCATCCACTGGGACTTACAGTTCTCCTTAGAATGTTGGGAAGAAAATATTAGGACTGATTTTCACAGATGAACATACTATGAAGCTGGGCCTCTACAGTCTAGGCTCAGTGCAAGGTAACAGCCAAAGCCATCATTAAACACCCAGTAACTGCCAGGCCTCCCCTACTAGATGCCTTACTCCTAAAAGTCCTCCACTGCCTGCAGGAAACAGTGGGGTCTCACAGCCAAGCGTTCAGTTCCCCGTGGCTCTCTACCACTGCCCACCACGGCCCAACCTTGCTGGCCACTGGAAGGTGAATGCTACAAGGCTAAGGCATCAGTGTTTCCCAGAGCAACCTAAAGAACACGGTCTACATCCCCTTATATGTAGGAACTCCCTAATGATTATGATCAGATTGGCGGTATTTTCATATGCACTACAAAATATTATCTGATATTAAGTGGATGCTCTGGGGAATATGATAATGCAAAGGATTCAGATCAATGATAATCTATCTGATACTGATAATTTCCCCTCCTACCTCTACACCTATCTCTTACAACCTATGCAGTGGGAGAATTCCGTACCTACAATGCATTATTAATGTCACAGCTCAATGATTAGACTTCTAGACATGGAATTGTATGTGACTACAAAAGGGTGGGAATTAAGCTTACACTGTGTAAAATATCCACAGGATAAATGCACATGTGAAATTATCCATAATTACGGCAGATCACAGAAACGAAACCGTGGCAGAAGACACCCTCCATGTCCAAGGTCAACTTTATGAGGTTATTAACTTGCTGACCCACTTCTTCTTCCCTCCTCCCTCCCCCCAGTAGCCATTCCAGCAAGCTCAAAGGGTTCTGATTTCTGTACAAAATGTACTGGTTCGATATGGGGAGTGGTATGAAGTAAACATGATGAACCGATATGGGACCAAGAAAAATTTAAATATTTGTTACTTTCCCTTAGAAGTCCTCCTGAGACAAGTCAACCTTATAACTCACACAGAGAAGGTCAAAAAACAATCGCTATACAAGTCTCCGCGGGACCTGGAAAAATCAATCCTCACACTGAACTTGTCCTTTCGGCTCTCGGCACTTTTGGCACCGCACACTAACTGAATAGCAAAGATAAAGCCAGACCTCTCCTTCCATGGAAAACAGGCTTGATTTATCATCCATAAAATACTATTACTTAACATGCATGGAAAAAAAATCATACTGCCAGGATTTATTGTCTAAGACTCCAGAAAACTCACAGTTCCCGGCTCACACGGACTTGATTACAGTGGGGCCTTGACTTACAAGCTTAATTCGTTCCGTGACGGAGCTCGTAACTCAAATTACTCGTATGTCAAATCAAAAAGTGAACGAGTGAGACACGTGATGCTGGGCTGATGTTGTGGCGTTCACTGTGACGTTCGCTGCGCCAACTAGAGGTGGGGTATCTGAACCTGGCTCGTAACCCGAATTTTAGCTCGCGACTCAAAGCAAAAAATCGGCCAAGAGACGGCTCGTATCTTGAAAAACTCATCAGTTGGGATACTCGTAAGTCAAGGCCCCACTGTACTTTGATAGGGCAGTTCCCAAACCGAAAACCGCCACCTGGGATAACCTGTGGTTAAACGCCTCTGGTAAGTCACGCTGACTCACCTAAAACTGTCAAAGTTACAGTACACGTGGACGAAGGCCCACTAACCTTGGGTAACTTCTGGGGGTCCTTTTCCTTCTTGGTGCACAACGTGAGCTCACACTGCAGAAAGAGCAGCGAGGTGTTGAAGACAGGCTTG